GTCCCGGGGGGACAAGGTGTGGGCCGGAGGGGACTCCTCCGCGACATTCCTCTGAGGCGCACTTCATCACAACATGGCTCGGGATTTATACACCCTGCCCTCGGAGTCTCTGCTTGGCAAGTCCGCCAAGTCCCTGACCTGGGTAAGTGCTTCTCCTCCCACCTTAGGTAGCTTCTCCGACGCTGTTCTTCCTGACCCGTCTTCCCTCTTACAGGGCCTTCATTATGCGACTGCCCTGATGGATAGGGTGCATGACGCCGACCGGGTTATCGGGGGCCTTACCAGTCGCAACGCCGAGCTCCGCCGTCAGGTCGAGGAGGCCCGAGCCGGGGCCGGCCCGGAAACCGTGGCGACCGCCGAGAAGCACGCGGCGGACTCGGAGGCGGAGGCGGCTCGCCTCAGGTCAGAGCTCGAGGCATCCGCCGACGCGAATAAAGAGCTCCAAAAAATCGTAAGGTTGGAGCGAACCGAGCTCCGTTTGTTGAAGACGGAGGCAGGCACCCTTAGCAAGAAGCTAGAGGAGGTGAAGGCGGAGGCGAGGGCGGCTTTTGAAGCGCTTGCCGAGGAGGCTCGTCTCCGACTCGACAAGGACAAGGAGTTGATTGCGATGTACAAGAAGTCCGAGGGGTTCAAACTCGGGCTGACGCGCACGGGGCAGGTTTCTTTTGAATACGGATATCGGATCGCCACGTCCTGCTTCCGTGCGCGCCACCCAGGCCTCGAGATGGAGGAGGACCCCTTCACCCCCCATCCCGAGGATCTTGAGGTGGACATGCCCGAGGATGTTCCTTTCGACGACCGGCTGGACACCCCACAAGAATGAGAGGAGTCTTGTATTTTGGTTTTTTTTTCTAAGGTGCTAGTCGATCTGTAAGTCGGGGTCGAGTCGTGTAATCCTCGTTTTTGTTTAAATAAAGGAAAATCTTTCTTCTCTTGTGTGTTGCCTAGCTTCCGCTTCCCTTAGACAAAAAACTTCTTAAGGTTCTGGATGTTCCATGTTCTTAGCAAAGAAGAGCCATCCATTGTCGCAAGTCGGTATGTGCCCGGTCAGATTATCTCGACGACCCGATAAGGTCCTTCCCATTTGGGGGCCAGCTTCCCCCTTGCTCAGGTTGGGTCGCTAACTTCGGTCTTGCGGAGGACCAGGTCGTCTAACTTAATTGGTCGGTGTCGTACCATTCCGGTTGTAGGGTCTTGCGACAGCTCTTTTATAAGAGAGGGCCTTCAAGTGTGCGTCGGCACGCTGCTCCTCAAGCATGTCAAGGCCGGCTTGAAGTCCTTCGTTTGTGGTTCTCTAGTCGTAGTTTCTTGTCCGAAGGGTGGGAATAGCTACCTCGGGCAGTAGGACAGCTTCGGTCCCAAATGCAAGGCTGTAGGGGGACTCTTCAGTCGCGGTTTTATGGGTGGTGCGTAATGACCATAAGATGCTCGGGAGTTCGTCCGTCCAAGCTGATCGAGCTGCGGACACTCTTCTTTTGAGCTCGTCTAGGATGAACCGATTGGTTACCTCCGCTAGCCCGTTCGTCTAAGGGTAAGCCACCGAGCTGAACCTCAGCTGGATCCCGTGGCTTGCACAGAACTCCCGGAACCTTTTATCGGCGAACTGGGGCCCATTGTGTTAGGATCAGAGCGGCACTAAGAAGGGGGGGGGGGTGAATTAGTGCAGCGGATTAAAACGTCGGTTTTAATAAATCTTTCGTACGATAAAAATCGGAATTGGAAGTGCTTAACTTAAAAGCGTATTCGCAAAGTTGTGCAGCAAAGGTAATGAGGAAATAAAGCAAGTAAGAAAGTTTGCAGAAATGTAAATAGCAGTAATGAAATGCAAACCAGAGATTGCGCCGATTTTAAAGTGGTTCGGTCAAGTGACCTACATCCACTTGCGATGCCCCTCTTCGATGAGGCTCCCACCTTCCACTAGCAAATCTCTTGAAAAGGATGGGTGAATACCCCTCTTACAACTTTTTACAAGCGGTTCACTCTTTTACAGATTTTCAGCAAGAAAGAAGGAGGTGAACACTAGCAAATTGAAAACAAGACTAGCTAAGACTTTTCTAAGGCCTTTCTCTCAAACAATTGCTGCTCAAAAAGTTATAATCTCAACTGAGATTTGAGGGGTATTTATAGGCCTCAAGAGGATTCAAATTTGGGCTCCAAAATTTGAATTCTCTTTGGGTTCCCGATGTTGGCGGTGCCACTGCCTGTCAGTGGCGGTGCCACCGCCTGTCAGTGTCAGACACTGACAGTGCTGGGCGGTGCAACCGCCCAGTCTGGCGGTGCCATCGCCAGACCCTTCGGTTCACTTGTTGGGCTTCAAATTTAGCCCAAACCAAGTCTAATTTTGGGCCCAGTTGGCCCCTAACCAGGATATAGGATTATCTCTTAATCCTAATCCTAATTACAAGTGAATTACATAACAAAACACATCCTAAGCAAGTTTTCAATCGCGAACGTCGAGTCTTGTTCCGGCGAGCTTTCCGACGAACTTCTTCCGACGGACTCCCAGCAAGCTCCCGAACTTGTGATGACTTTAACGAGTAGCCGAGCCTTCTCGGTGATCTCCATGAACCTCCAACGATCTCTTCGGCAAACTTCCAAAAATTCCGACAGGTTCCCGATTTCTTCTCGGTTGGTTCTAGCAGCATCTCCGACGATTCTTCGGACTCTTAAACGTCCATCGAACATGACTCCGGTATTCTTGCTTTGTGTTTTTTGATTATCGTAGTTAATCCTACACACTTAACTCAATAATATGGATTAGATCAATTAACCCATCAATTGATTTTATCATCAAAATCCGAGATTCAACACATTGTCTGTAATGATGGTTTTGGGCAAGCCAAACCGAGTCACTAGGTTCCTCCACACGAACTTCTCTATTTGTTGCTCCGTGATCGTCGCTAGTGGTTCGGCCTCAACCCACTTGGTGAAGTAATCCACTCCCACGATGATGTATTTTTGTTGTCCCAAGGATGGCGGGAAAGGTCCGAGTAGGTCCAAACCCCACTGTACGAACGACCATGCGCAGTCGATGGGGGTGAGCGGGACCACGGGCATGCGAGCGTGCTCCTGGCATGAACTGCACCGTTGCACGTAAACCTTCGCGTCTCGGCGCATGGTTGGCCAGTAGTACCCTTGGCGAAGTATTTTGTGCGCCAAGGTTCGCCCACCGATGTGCTCCCCGCAGACCCCTTCGTGGACCTCGGCTAGAACCGATCGAGCTTCGTCGGGCTCCAAGCACCATAGGAGAGGGTGTGAGAATGATCGCTTATAGAGCCGTTTGCCCATCTCGGAGTACCACGCCTACGTACGGCGTAGGCGCCGAGCCGTAGACTCGTCGGGGGGAAGGGTCCCGTCCCGCTTGAAGCGCAGCATTTCTTGTACCCATGTGGTCTGCGCACCGCCCGAGGCCACAGCAGCAATTTCGATGGCACGATAAGGGAGCTCCTC